AGTGGGGGGGGAAGGTTAGAAACAGGTGAGGGTCCCCCTGGCCAACAGTCCCCCCACCCCAGTTGGGATCACCCTCAGGAGCCCCCCCATCTTGTGCCTGTCCCCCCCTCAATCCTGCTGCTCCCCAATTCACCCCTCCCCTTGGAGCACTAGGGAGGGGTGGTTCACCCTGAACCCACGGACAGCCCAGCAAGGCACATGCAGCCCCTGACACGTACGTGAGAAAGCGTGACCCGGTCTGTGTGGCAGGGTAGAGCAGGGGCTAGTGTGCGGGATGGTGAGGGAGGGTATGGTGAAGGTGCACATACAAGCAATGGCAACTGTCCTCGTGCAGGCAATGGTGCAAGCCAGTGCTCCAAGTGTGCACGTGCGAGTGATGGTGCGAGCTGGTAAGCAGCTGAATGTGTCCGTGACTGATGGCACGAGCAGATGAGCACGTGGACAATGGTGCAAGCGGTCATGAGGCTGAATGTGCAGACAAGCATTGGTGCAACCCCACATGCAACTAAGTGTCCACATGAGCAATGGTGTGATATGGCGAGTGTGCACACACAAATGACAGTGTACGCTGATTTTCAGTGTGCAAATGTGCAAGCAAGCGCATAGCTGAATGCAGATGTGCAACAGATGGTACATAGAGCGTGCACACACTAGTGATGATGCAAGAGGGTGCACAGGGGAGCGTGCACACATGAGCAATGGTGCAAGCCGCTGCCTAGGCGAATATACACCTGTGAGCAAGTGTGAGATGGCAGCGAGTGTGCATGCACAAGCGACGACGTCTGCTGATTCGCAGTGGGCAAATGGACAAGCTAACGCCTAGCCGAGGGTACACGTTGCAACGGACGGTACACAGAGCGCGCACGCACTAGTGATTATGCTGATGGGTGCACCAGTGAGCAACGGTGCAAACCGGTGCACAAGCAAATGCGCACGTGAGCGATGGTGCAAGCCGGCGCAGTTCCCTCCCTCGGCTCCCAGCACCCTCTGCCCCCCCCATGGGATTCAAGGCCCCTTTCTTTCCAAGGGGGGGGTCATCCTGGGGGCCCCTCACTCTCTGGGGGGTGGGGGGGCATTGCCGCACGGCTTCTCCTTGCTCCTGGCGTCCGATACATTCAGGCCTCTGTGTCCTCGGGGCGGCTGGGGGCTCCCCTCTCCTGGGGGCGGGGGATTCTCTCATCACCTCTCCAGGAAGAGCTTGAGGGCGCGGTCAATGTTCATGCGGTGCCCGACGCGGGTGACGCCCAGGTCGATGTAATCCTCCTTGGTGAGCGAGGGCAGGTGGGAGCCGTCGATCTCGTTGTCCAGGAAGCGGTCGCGGTGCTCGCCCAGCTTCAGGTACTCCAGCCAGTCGGCCACGTCGAATTTGGTCCAGAAAGGCAGGGGCTTGGCGCCGAAGGGCTTGTCCGTGGCCGGGGGCAGGAAGTGGGTGGGCGAGAGGGAGCGGCTGCCGGAGGGGAAGTCGGGGAAGGGGCAGGGGCCGGAGGGGGGGGAGCCGCGCAGGTCGTAGATGCCGCCGTAGAGGGGGACGGAGGGCAGGATGGGCAGGGAGGAGGGGCGGGGGGCCGGGCTGATCTTGTGCTCGCTGGGCAGGGCGGCGGGGCTGGGGGCGCGGCGCAGCGCCGGGCGGATGTCGAACTCCACGCTTTTCGGGGGCTTGGCGCCCGGCCCCGCCTTGGGCCAGTTGTGGAACAGGCTGCTGGGCGGCTTGGAGGGGCCCGACGCATCCTCGGGGAGCCTGGTTGGGGGGGAAGAGATGGTCACGGGGTGCTCCTCCCCCCGCAGCATTCCCCCCCCCTTCACCCTGCAGAGGCCATGGCTGGACGCCCCCACGCCCCCCAGCTTTGCACGAGAGCGCACGAGCAGTCATGGGGTAAGCGGCACACTTGTGGCACACGATGACAGGGGCTCGTCTGCAGAGCACAGAAATTCACCATCTCTTGCCCCCGCGTCGGGGAACGGGTCTGGCACGGGGATCTGCCGCACCTACCCCCCCCCCCCCGGTCCCCACCTGCTGGGACTCGGCCCAGGGCCCCTTCCAGCCCGGCTCCGGGAGGAGAGTAGGGCTGGAAGCCAGGACTCCTGGGTTCTCTCCCCGGCTCTGGGAGGGGAGTGGGGGCTAGTGGTTAGAGCAGGGGGGGCTGGAAGCCAGGACTCCTGGGTTCTCTCCCCGGCTCTGGAAGGGGAGTGAGGTCTAGTGGTTAGAGCAGGGGGGGCTGGGAGCCAGGACTCCTGATTTGCCAATCTTTGCCACGTCTTTTCCCCAAGGTTACTCCTGCGGGGTTAGGGGGGTCGCACCCCCAATACCTGCCCCACGGGTCCCCCTCTCCCACAGGTGAATTCTCCCAGTGCAGACAAGCCCTCGGACACACAACACAATGGAGCAAATTAAAGGCAGCTGCGCGGCCCTGGTGAGCGGCTGGGGAGTTGGGGCAGAAGGGGGCCTCTGTGGGTGTGCAGCGGGGGGGGGGGCTCAGTGGAGTCCCACGGGGGGGCTCTGGGACAGAGAGACCCCCTCTCAAACCAGGAATCGCTAGGAAACCGGGCGCGAGGCATGGCAGGATGTGGGAGGGCATTGGGGGGGTGTCGGGCGTGTGCGCAGGGCCTGACGCCCCCCGGTGCCCCCTCCAATCCCTGACCCACAGCAGCCTCCTAGGAACCCAGCCCTATGGGTGAGTGCGTGCGTAGGAGGGAAGGTGAAGGGGTGGGTGGGGGGTGGACACATGCAGCGCCTGGCACAAAAGGGTCCTGACCCGTCCCCGCCAACCCCCCGTGCCGGGCGTGGCGGAGCGAGAAACCAAAACAAACCCAAAGCAAACATGAGTGACGGGCACGGCGGCGTGAGGCATGCACGGGGCGCCCCCGGCGGGTGCTGCTGGCTTCCTCCATCCATCCGTCCTCCTCCGGACGCTACCTTTGGCGCTGCAGGGAGCTGGGCCGGTCGGCGCCGAAGGGGCCCGCGCCGTCGGGGGACCGGGCCCACGACACCCCACTCATCTGCTGCAGCTTGGAGCTCAGCTCGCTGATGATGCTGGCTTTCATGGCCGAGACGGGCGAAGGCTTGGCCGCCCCGCCCTCCTCCCAGGGCAGGGTGGGCGAGCGGCGCTGCGGGGCGGGCGGCTCCTGGGCCGGGGCGGGCGTGAGGGCGAAGACGCTCTCGGCGCAGGCCGCCACCGAGATGGTGGAGCTGGTGGGGGTGGCGGGGTCGCGGCGGGCGGGGAAGGGCCGGGAACGTAGCTTGCCGGGCTTCTCCGCCGGGCCGCCGAAGGCTTGGCCGTCCAGGTAGGTCACGTAACTATCCAGCAGCTCCGCCCCCTCGCTGGACAGCCCCGACATGCTGGACAGGGTGGAGACGGAGCTGATGGTCTCCAGGTGGTGGTCGCTGCTGCTCCGGCTGTCGATCTCCTCGATGCCCGAGTCGGTCACCGCCTCGGGGGGCTCGGGCGCCGGGATCTGGATGGAGGACACCACCGAGGAGAAGTTGACGTGGGGGGCCTCCCGGGGCTCGGGCGCCCCGCCCTGGGTCAGCGTGGCCACCTCGCTGTCGTAGGAGGTCAGGCTGGAGGTGGTGGAGTCCAGGGCGGCGGTGGCAGGCGGCGCGGGCGGCGGCGGGGCGGGCGCTGGCTCCGGGGCGGGGACGGCGGGGGGCTCCCGGCCTGCCTTGGGGGAGTCGGGCTTCTCGAAGCTGTTGGAGAACTCCAGCGGCGGGGGCAGCGGCTCTGTGAAGAGGAACTCGTCGTCCACGTCGATGGAGGGAGCCGGCGGCGGGAGGACCAGCAGGGGCAGCCCGTTCTCCTCCACAACCCGGGCCGGCGCCGGCTCGCTCTCCTCCCGGGGCCGGCAGTTCTCCACAAAGCGCACGTGCAGCTTCTCGCCCCCGGCCCCCTCCTCCCCCCGCTTCTCCCCTGCCCACGGGGCGCCCTTGGGCTCAGAGGGGGCCCGGCGCCGGGGGCTCTCCGGGCGCGGCTCACCCGCCGGCGCCCCCCACAGGCGCAGGATGGAGCCACCTCCTCCGGAGGGCTCCGGCGCCACCTCCCCGAACCGGGGCGAGGACGGGCGGGATCTTCGCTCCTCCGCCTCCGCCCGGCCTTGCTGCAGCTGCTGAGAGTGCGACTCCTGCAACGCCCGCTCCCGGGCCACCAGCGCCAGGCCCAGGGGCGAGCCCGGGTCTAGGATCTTGCCCGTCAGCGGGTGGATGAGGGGCGGGGCGTTCCCGCCGCCCGGCCGGGGCTGGAGCTGGGGCAGGAAGCTGGAGCAGACGGTGGTGAAGGCGCTGGTGGTGCCGGCACCCCCGTAGGCCTTGGCGGTGCGAGGCTGGTAATAGGTGCCCGGCGGCAGGGGCTGGGCGTAACTCAGCTGCAGGTAGGGCTCGGCTGAGAACATGCCCTCGTCGATGCTCTTCGAGTGCCGGAGCCGGGGCGCCGGAGCTGGCTCGGGCGCCTCGTCCTCTGGCACCTCGGTGGAGAGGAAGAGGGCGGAGCGGCGGCGGGCCTCGCTGTGCCACTCCCGGTCCCGCCGCGCCGCCCCCACCAGAGCCGCGCCGAACTGGCTGGTGAAGTCCATGCTGTTGTGGAGGGGCAGAGCCGGCACCGGGGCCGGCTCCGGCTGCCCCTCCGTCTCCATGCTGCTTCCCTGACTGCTGCGCCCGCTGCTGCTGGTGGAGGGGGCTTTGATGACGATGGTGGGGATGGCGATGGAGTTCTTCTCGGGGGCGGGTGGCGCCGAGGCGGGCGGCGCCGGGGCGGGCGGCTGAGTCTGGGGGGCAGCCCCTTGCTGCCTCTGCTCATCCTCCACCTTGGTCTGCTTCACCAGCGGGCCTTTCCGGCGCAGCGGCTTGGCCGGGACGTACATGGCGGCACTGGCCGCCCGGGCCGGCAGGTTGTAGTAACGCAGCTCCGGGTGCGCGTGGTGCCCGCGCCAGCCCCGGGTGGGCCCAGCCTCGGCCCCCCGCTCCAGCTCCTGGCGGTACATGGCCAGCTTCTCGCGACGGGCCGGGCCCTCGAAGGCGGCCGGCTCCTGGTGCAGCGAGGCCGGGTAGAGCTTGGCCTCGGCGGCCGGGTTGAAGGTGGAGCGCACGGCGGGGGTGAGGCGGCCCGTGGCGGAAGGGGGGGCGCTGTAAGGGGGCTCCGGAGGGGAGGTGGTGGGGGGCGGGGGGATGTCCTCTGAACCGGGGACGGACAAGCTGCGGCTGAATTTCATGGCTGGGGGAGCCAAGTAGGGCTTCTCATCCTCCACCGAGCCTGCGAATGGACAGACGGACAGTGGTCGGCCAGGGACCCGGAATCCTGGCTCCCCACTGGGCCCCACTCCTCTCCTAGAGCTGGGGAGAGAACCCAGGAGTCCTGGCCCCCAGCCCCTCCTGCTCTAACCACTAGACCCCACTCCCCTCCCAGAGCCAGGGAGAGAACCCAGGAGTCCCAGCTCTCAGCCCCTCCTGCTCTAAACACTAGACCCCCCTCTCTTCCTAAAGCTGGGGAGAGAACCCAGGAGTCCTGGCTCCCAGCCCCCCTGCTCTAACCCATGAGACACCCCCCCCCTTTCCGCATAACAGACGGAACCCAGGAGTCCGGCAGTGACAGACGCCCGCTGCCCCAGCCCCGCTCCCCTCCCAGCCCGGCCCACCTCACCGATGGATTTCTGGCGCAGCATGAGGCCCTGGGGGGCACCGGGGGGCAGGTACGACGGGCGCTCGTAGCTGGGCTGCCCCATCCGATGCGGCTCGAAGTTTGACTGCGGAGACATTGGGGTGGGGTGTTAGCGCAGGCAGCGAGCAAGTGAGGGCACCGCCCAGGGCAGGAAAGGGTTAAGGTGGCATCACAGGGCAAAGTGATGGGGGCGGGGGGGATAAGAGGCCAGGATAGGGATAGGTGGGGGGGGTGGATGGGCAGGGTTGGGAGGTGGGTAGAAATGACCCACTCCCCTCTGAGAGCCAGGGAGAGAACCCAGGAGTCCTGGCTCCCAGCCCCCCAGCTCTAACCCACTAGACTCCCCTCCCTTCCCCGAGCCAGGGAGAGAACCCAGGAGTCCTCCCCTGCTCTAACCACTAGCCCCCCCTCCCCTGGTGTGCCCCCTCAGCGAGGCCC